ATGATCTCATCCATGTTGGTTCTCCATTTTGGGGCATTGTACCTGGCAGAGTGTCCCAACCTTTGGGGCAGATCACCTTGCCAGTCTAGTTTGGCAGCGTCAGCCACTTCCGTACTGAGTACGTGAATTTCTTTGTGGCAGACTTTGACACTGCCTACCACGCCATCCTTGGCCGACCAGCTCTCACCAAGTTCATGGCCATGCCCCATTATGTCTATCTAGTGTTGAAGATTCCAATAGAGCAGGGCGTCCTCACCCTGCGCGCCAACGTCTCCACTGCCTACGAATGCGAAAGAGAAGGACTCGCCATTGCCGAAGCAATGGACCTCTCGGCCAGAATGGAGGCTTGCATTGCCGATTCTAAGGTCCATACATATAAAGGCTATGACCCGACCAGTGTCATATAGGCTCTACGATCAAGATGGCGTCGACGCCCCTAATTCATGGTGCATTGAACACCTTAGGCGTTTCTATCCTTGAGACATTCTACTAAAGATATGTACCTTTTTTATGTATTTCAATAATAATTATATCTGTGATGTTTTCTCCATTTGTTTTCCATAATTTTTTTTTCAAGTTACTTATTTCTCCATACTAAACATCTTTAATATGACATAAACTATCACCCTTCAATTCACCGACCAGCCATGTTCTCCTTTGCGTTATCCAGAAGAAGTCATGTTCTCGGTCTAGCACCTAAACGTGCAAGGGCAATAGTGCTCTGCGTCATGGGCAGTCAGCAGTGGCTCCTCTGTGATACCTATATTCCTAAGAGCGCATAGGAGCTAACCTCTTAACGCCATGGAGTGTGGAATAGCCAGGGCAGATAACAAGATAAGGGACTAACAATGCATTGTTAATATTAAATATTAACATTTCGTACATCTTAAACATATTGTTTCATACATAGTTGTTTGGCATAACATAGATAAATTTGTTACATGTCATCATGGTTGAGGATCAGCATCGCTGAACAGATCCAAGTTGTCCGCCAGCTTGATTGCCGAATCAGACACCTCCTCCTCCAGCATGGTGATTTGCTCGTCGCTTAGATTTTGGGCAAAGCCACCATCGATTCGTTCTAGCTTCACCAAGGGGTAGAATGACTGGACAACCACCAATGCATGGCCCATGGTAGAACAAGCAATGCCACGAGCATAATGCTTGAAGTTCTCCGCGCCGACCTACACCTCTCCACGATGACATCTGACTGCGGTCCCCTATTGGGCTCCAGCAACTGTGGGTCGATGAGGTCCAGCACGGGCTTTATCCCATCAGTCATGGCCTTCATCGTCTATTTGCTGGCCTCCAGCCAGAGCGCGAAATCGCAGAACTATGCCGGACTATTGGTTCAGATCACTGCAGACAAGGAGGGCAATCGTCTTAAAAAGCTTCTCATAGCAAGATGAGTATTAACATGAAGAATAACTCATGTTGTAGTTCGTCGGTGAGTCATTTTTCCACCATCCGAGCTTCATCCCTTTGTTTCTCTACTAGCGTTGAGGCTTCCCACGCTAGCAGAGCTTGGGTCTCTGCCTCCGCCTTGGCGTCATGCGCCAAGCGCATTTCGGTTTCCGCCTCCACCTTGGCAGCACGCGCCAAACCTGCTTCGGCCTTCGTCTGCCTCAGAGCATCAACAAGCTCTACACTAATAAAAGATTTCGATTAGCATGGGTAAACTGAAGATATGAAAGCAATACACTAAAGGGCCTAAGGCCTTACTTTTTTCTTGACTTACGCCATCGCCTAGCTGATTCTTGAGCTCCTAGTTCTCTGCTTCAAGTTGCATCTTTTCTACTCATAGCTTATCCTGGTCGGCTTGTGCTCCAGCCAGCATCTTCTCCAGAGTCTTCATAGACTCATGAAACCTCTGGTTTTCGGCAACGGAAGGAGCCGCCAGTTCTAGCTGGCTTCTACGGCTCTCGAAAATCTTCATTACCTCCTGCGGTGAATAGCAGTTAACAGGCATAATCTGTACTCTCAATTGGTTGTGCAGACTAACTTACTTCAACTTGGCTAGACACCGACGCTAGTCTAGTCCTGATCTTCTTCACCTGCTCGCTCGCCTCCTTGTCCTCCACCACCTCCATCATATCTCCATAGCATACGAAGGTCCACAAAAGCTGAGGAGGAGGATCCTAGGTATTTCGTGCTTCACGCTCAATTTCTTCAATCACCTTGAGAGACTCCCTCACCTACATCGGCGCTCGGCCAGCTCTTGGTTGGATGGAGGGGATAAGTTCCATCCCTGGTGTCTGAGCCTAGGGACTGGCCCTTGGCTCTGGATGACTGCTCGGCTCTATAGCAACATCTTCGTTCATTCACTCTAGGTGCTTGATACGATACTTGGAATACTTCCGGGTGAAAGTTACAGTAGTATTCGTGTGCTTTCGGATTTATCTGTGTGCGTTAAATGTTGTAAAAATTGTTTCCTCTCCTCCAATTAATTCAAACAGACTAACGCGGTGGGCTTCGTACCTACCATAACTATACAAATCTATTATCTAATATACTTAAATAGAAGAACCCCGCTACAAGATTTTTCTACAGTTCGTGAAGTCACGTCACCTAGATCCACTTCTACCTCCCGTGAGTAATCATCTCCGTCACCCTCTTTAGCTTTCACCAGGCTATTGGTAACTGATGATAATGCGAAAAAACAGTGCTACCAGCCCACCGTACCACTAGGCCATCAAGAGTTCTTTTGTCTTCGTACCTACTGCTACAAAGCTGAAACACATATGGCCTTTTAGCCTTGCCACGCTATATGCCTATATATCTCTCTCCATAGGCAGGCAAGGCGTAGATCCTCTCTCAGCGGTCCATCAGTCTGTTCGTTTGGTCATATTTAGCTTATAAGCCATAACTTATCAACCAACGAACAATATTTTTCTCTCACACCAAACCAGCCAACAGTACTTTCAGCCATGGCTTATAAGCCAAACCAGCCCGAACGAACAGGACGGATGATGATGGCCTCCTGCGGGCAAACAGCAGCGGTGACCCCCACGAAGCGAGCCGGGCCGCAGGTGCAGAGGCGTGGCAAGTTGCAGGTGCTTGCAGCGGCCACCATGCAACGAGCGATGGAGAAGGCCATGGCGGGATCGTGGGTGGCGATACGTGCGGGAGGCGCATAGGTCCGAAGCATGGCTGTTCGGTGGCAGGTGGAGGAAACTTCATCTATGCAGATGAAGGTCGACGGTGCGGGCGAACGCGAGGAGGCAGACACAGCGTCGGTGGAGAAAGCCAAAACACCGAACGAGAGAGCCTAACCCAATCTCAGCATTCTTTTGTTGCTAAGGCCCAATCTCAGCATTGTGTTGCTTGCGAACACCTGAGACGAAGCTCACAATTTTACACGCGTTTAGTTGGATGCCTTCATCTTTGTATATACATCCATTTATTACGAGAGAAAAACACTGTCGAGGGGGGCAGTGTTTTATCGATATATACATCAATTTGTAGAGATATACACTGTTTTATTGGATCTAAAAAATATTCTAAGACGAGGGTACTTAATTCTACATGAAGACCGGTGTAATACTCATTTTAATAGTTTCTCAATATGACATGTTCTCTCCTATCTATGTAATGCTACCAATTTCTCGCAGCAACGCGCGGGGTATCATCTAGTTGATAGAATTTGAAAACCCACCCTCTAACTCTAATAGCAGACCGAAAGGGCCTCTAGCCTAGTGGTTAGAGCACCAGCAGGCCTGGGTTCGACTCCCCGTAGATGCGAATAAAACAAGTTTAGAATAAAAAAATAAAAAAATAGGTTGGAGTTATCCCTGTTGACTTCGGTAAAAAACCTTGACCACTTCAAAGTAGTTTTTTGAGTGGTTTTGCTGACATGGCGGTGGGGCTCACATGTTAGGTGGTCTTTCTCTTTCATTTATATAAAAAATCATAACTTTTCCATATAAAATCGGAGGAATATAAATGTTATATAAAAATTATAGAGCTCGATGTGATCTACAACTTTTTAGTTGACAAATTTTTTATTTGACATCTTTAGAGGCTCAAAAATTCATTTTAAGTTATCAAAATTTTGTAATTTAATTTTTTGATTTTTTTCAAACTTACTAGGATATTGATATGGTCTATAACAAAGTTATAGCTATAAATTTGATCTATAATTTTGTAGTTGACAACATTTTTATCTGATATCATTTAGATGCCCTAATGTTCGTTTTAATTGCAATATATAACGTTTTAGTTGAAAACTTCTCTCTTTGAGATCATTTAGAGGCCCAAATATGCATTTAAGTTCTCTGATTATAAATTCATTTTTTAATTTTTCAAACAACCTCGATGGAGACACTCTATGCCAAATTTGTAGTGCTTAAAGAGATCTAAAAGTTTCTAGTTGTTTTATATTATTATATAGGAGCCCAAATATTTAATAAAAGATGTCATAACTAAAAAAACCGAAGACTTGTGGGACTCGCATGCCACTATAAACTATTTCAGGCCTGGTTTGGATGCACATGCATCAATATCAATCCACATATGTTGAAAGTGGATTGGAGTAGATATTAGTTTCATATGTTGGAAGTGGATTGGAGTGGATATTAGTTTAAGTTCGACTCCAATCCTCTTCGACACACGTAGATTGAGCTGAATATATGTGCATCCAAACAAGACCTTAGAGAGTGCATTTTATGGGTTTATAAAGCTGAGGGTAGGTTTTCCGGCATTCAAGTTTGGGGTGTTTTTTAAATTCAGCCACAAGTTCAAAGGGATATGCAAAATTTATAATGCACACGACTAGCTCTTTTACATTTTATTTATCATCATACAATGGGCCCCTGTCCACGAGTGCTTATAAGTTGGCACAACAAAAGATCCCTCAATGCAACGTGCAGAAAATACATCTTAGCTAGTACGACCACTAGGCGTGGAACTAACTGAATATTATTGCATAGAAATAGTAGCAGCACTGCTGGCTGCACTCTGGGAACCCCTACATCATTTTGGACCGCATAGTACTGAAAACTTTAGTCATCCATCTCCATTGTCTGCCCTTGCTCATCTCGTCGACTTCCAACTTGTGCCGTTATGTTCGCCTTGTGGTACTTTTGATTATAGAGCAGCATTACAAGTGAAACAAAGGCTGGACAAAAGATATACGTCCATGTTAATTTATTATTAAGAGAACAAACTAAGCATACATTAAATTGCTGGGGATATTACAAATGATTCTTTTTCCTTGAGCGCAGGAAAACAGAATGGCAACAACTGCTCCCATACTAAAAAAATAAACCATACATCTTTTAGGAATCACAAAGAATTGAAACAGATTTTAGTTGCACATGTTGTCAAGTTCAATGGTGTTTCCGTAATAAACAGTGCTACATCATTAACATTTCAGTCGCGCAATTATGAAATGACACACTGACAACAAAAAAATTGGCAGATTGCTGAATTTGGCATCACAGTGTATATGTTGAGCAAACTGTTCTAGTGAAGTGGCAAGGGCCTACTGTCATCGGTCTTTATTTTTTTTAATAACAATTGATTTGTGAGTCAGTAATATGGTTCCTACGTACCGAAATGACACTTTGTTCCCTATTCCACTTTGAACCACAAGTGGACTGTTGTAATGTTCTATACATATTGACACTGCTGGTCTAACTAGACCATCAACATTAATCATCATAACTAAAGGGTAGCTCAAATGCATTTTGAAACAGGCAAATTATCTTATTTAACAATTTCAAGCATCAACATTTTTATACCCACACATTAGCCTGAATTAAGCAGGAATCAGTTTCTTACGAAGTTGCAAACTTTAATATTTTGCATGATATAACTCAATAATTGCACGGTTGAATATTGTATCACCTAATAACATGTAAATAATAAAGGATATGTTTCATGGAAACTGCATCGGTTGAAAACATTTAGAGATACCTGCCATGACGCGTGTCTTACCATAGCTGCAACAAGTTTTTTGCGTGGGCAATACTTCCATGCTTATAGAGCCTGATCTCTCAAAATCTCAACTGAGGTAACAGAACAAAAAGTATTTAGTCTTATGCTCAGAAGGATTGCTAGAGAGAACATATAATTTGTCACTAGTGGTAAGTGAATCACACCTCTTTTATGAATTTGACTTGAATAACAGCTATATAGCTTTGGGACTGTAAAACTGGTGAAAAATCCTGCAGTTTGTAGCAAACACAACATTATTATATTACAACAGTCATGCCAAGACTTGCTGCTTGTACCTTGTGCATTCGATTATACCTGCAGCTACAAGCCTCCACACTGTAAGAAGGCCCCCATATTTAGCACCGAACAAAAGTACAGGCAGTACCTGAAATTCCAGCAAACACAGGCCCCTAAAATTATTAAGGAAAACAATGTCTCTTGTAGTTGCAGTACTGCCAGATCATGAACAAAATTTGAGGCTTACTTTGAGATTCATTGAGGGTTCACAAGAGAAGATCACTTGTGCCGCGGATAACATGGAGTTTGCAATCAGAAGCACAGCTTGAGAAGCAAGAAGCACATCTTCAGTCAACTGGAAGCTTCTCTTATTCTCCACCTGTGGCCTGCCCAATTGTAAACTCATATTACCTCTGGTTCAATCATCCATATGGACCAAAAAAAATTGATCAAATCATACCTCTGAGGAATAGAATCCTTAAAGAAAGCTAAGCCTAAGATCATAACGTCGAGGTGACTGAGAGCTGAGATTGGGCTACAAAATCATCACCCAAAGCCAAGTACCAGATTACAACGAAGAAACATACGTAAATCAGTAATTTTAAGGTAAATGAATATCGAAATTCGCATGCCTGAAGGTGACGTCTCTTGAAAATGAGCATGAGAAGAACAACATAGATCCAGATCCGAACCAGAGTGCTGATTTAGCCACGTTCCTCCACATCACCAACTCAACGATCCTTTCCCAGAGACCTTCCAACTCAGATTGTTCCACGAAGTCAGTTCCTATGTGTCAAAAGAGGAACAATCATAGTGGAATGCTTAGCAAAATTGAAGCAGACATCCTATTACAGGCTATAACCATCAACAGCAGGAGAACATTTTTAGTTAGAACAATAGACACGACAGCAGGACAGCGACAGCCATCCTGTATGAGAATAGAATGGGCCGAGAGACCATTGCTCACCGTAGGTAGCAACAGGACAAGCCGGGACCAAAGCCATGGTTGTATCGTCCTCGTTCAGCACCGCCGCTGCCTTGTCAGTGGCCGCTGCAGCTTTCAGCGCAGCCCTTGTGGATTTCCTCCTGTGGGCCCTCCTAGCAGCGTCCTCCTCCACTGCCTCGACGTCCTTCTCCAACCTCCGCCTCGCCCATTGTGCATTCCTCGGGGATGCTAGAGCGGGCGCCACGCACTGCTCTGTGCCCCCGTGCCGCCTCCGCCTTGGCGGCGTGGGCGTCCCCACCACTGCAACAATCTCCAGGCTCTCGTCCACGCTCGTCCCGACGGCCCCACGGGTCCTTGACCGGTGGCGGCGAGAGCTCGGGGATGGCGTGGACAGCAGCAGTAGATCGTGTAGAGAGTGCCCGGACACCTGAACCGACGGCGACAGCGAGGGGGTCCTCAGCCCCGGCCCATCGGTTGATTGCTTCAGCTTCGGCTTTGGCGGCGGCGTTGCTACCTCATTAGCTGGAGCTGGGCAGTGGTGCTACGGCGGAGCAGGGAGATTGGCGGCGGTAGCCGATGCCGGGGAGGATGGTTCCGCGGCCATGGCCTCCATTTGTTCGACGATTTGCCTCGCTCAGTTCTTTGGGTTAGTCTTGTAGCTGTTTGGGTTGTTTCGGATCAGGACATCGGGTCCTCTCGGGGGGACTTCCCTTTTGGTAACGATATATGTCGGGTTGGGTCTGACCCTTCACTTCACCTAGGGACATGGCTCGCTCTTCTCCACTCGCTCGTGGCTTATTCTTATCCGCTTGCTCTACGTCGCTCCATCCGCTCTATACGGTGCGCCCCTGCTCGGGTACCAACAAGATGCTCGCCACCACTCCCTCCTGAGCCGCTCACGGTGCCACCCCTCCCGAGCAACGAGCCACTCACCGGCGCCGCCCCTGCCTAGGCCGCTCGCCGGCGCACCCCTCCCGAGCTACTCACGTGGCGCCGCCCCCGCCCGCACCACTCCTTCCCCGACCCCGACGTCTTCCTCCACGGTGGCTCCTTCCCGCACCCTGGCGTCCCTCCTCCCCCACCCCGGCGGCGCCACCCCCACCCGCACCGCTCCTTCCCCGACCCTAACATCCTCCTCCGTGGTGGTTTCTTCCCATACCCCAGCGTCCCTCCTCCCCCACCCTGGCGGCACCCCTCCCCCACACCAGCATCCTCCCCCACAAGGAGCTTCGAATGCCAGTAGATCTGGCGGCCATAGCGCTCCCCACGCCAGTCTCTCTTCTCTTTCCCCCCATGTTGTAATGGTGTCTTTCAATTGTTTCAGAAGCTTTAGAGGTATGTTGAAGTAGAATCATATGGTTGGTTGCAAAAGTACATCTGGCATGTTGCACTTTTGTTGATATGTTACAAGTGTTTCAAAGGATTGTTGCAAGCACTTTGTTCAAAATGTTTCACATGTTTCTACATGATGTTGCAATCATTTCTGGTCTGGATGTGTTCATAGAAAAATGTGGCGATGTGATCAACACATAGCAAGCCGAAAGATCTGAGTGGAATGAGACTAGAGATCTGATTGGCTTCAACACAGAACCAGTCAATTCTGAAAACCCAATGACGTGCCAGTTAATTTGACCTGCAATTGACAAGGAGAGAAAATCTTATCAGTAATTTAAGGTGGAACATGTCGGTGTTCCACCAAACAGTTCCAAATGTATGGCTAGATAGCCGATTCAATGAGTCTATCGACTAAATAGTCGATATCCAGCGTATCCATGAAATGAAGATCTTTAAATCAAGAATTATCGGCTAATATTAAACGATAATGATATGAATCAAAATAACCGATGCTCATGGAACATCAGAAAGTATCATCGGCTAAATGAAACATAATCGATATAAAGCGTCGAGCCAATAAATTTGATGAAAAGAGTATAACATGCGAACAAATCGACTGTATGATATAAATGAATCTACAAATAATTTTGAGTCTAATCTATTATCATCAACAGTGAGGTTCAATCGGATCGATGCGACTATGATAATGATAAAAAAAACTAAAGTCAAAGAATCTATAAAACCATATATATGTTCACAGATTCATGAAAACATGCTATATGTGTGAAAGTATAAGCAAATTAGCTAAAATAGCCGATGCAGTCATAGCAAACAAACATAGTACATATCTTAATCATGAACAAGACCGCTAATCGATAATTTCTAATCTAAAGTCTTACTAGTGAGGTACGACCAGATCGATGCAGCTATGGTAGTGTCATTAGATTAGATCTCAATAACTAGTGAGTTTATTCAAGATTGAAATATGTCTTTGGATGCATACTATGTTTGACTGGAATAGAGATAAAACAGTCGATCTAGCAAAATTAAGTCATCAATTATAAGATTTGAAGCGTGACCAGATCAAAGGACGACCAATTAAGATGATATGATGCCGATCTATCTCTATCTAAATTGGATGCTTTTGTTATAATTAATAAAACATTAATTATAGCAAGATCGATAACTGGTGAATCAACCAAAAACAGCAAGGAAAATCTTACTAATCTTAGCAGATTCGATAACGGGTGATATTGTATTTAACAACAAGCTATTTAACACAAGATCGATAACTTTGATCTACATTATGATTCGTAAGAGATCAATCAGCTAAAGCACCCTTACAAACTATGATACAGATCGATAACTAACTTATATTATGGCTCATAAAAGATCAATCGGCTGATGCAGCTTTACAAGCATAATACAAGTCATGACGGTACTCACAAGCAAGTTGGAGGTCGATCAGTCGATGCAGCCTTGTTTGCTGAAAAACTCTTTTAGATCTACAGTATTCCTACTCCTAATGCGATGGTGAGTGTTGGAAAGATTGTGTTGATTGAATGTTCGTCCTTTTTTACAATAACTAGGGTCTAATATTTATACCCGGAACCTAAACATGAATCCTACTCAAATACAATTTATTACAATTTTTAAAATAAAAAAAAACTTCCTAACTTAATAATAATCTGTTCAATTACTGATAAATAAACCAGTGCGTACTATCAGTGGCCCTTGGTGGTTAATACAACTATGGTTGAATCTGTACATGCATAAAATTGTAAGACCCAATCTCAGGAATCTGAGCTTCCCTTCCTAGCATTTCCAAAATATAAGTATTGCTAGATGCACAACATTTAATCCGATAAGAACCTTTCCAATTAGGCAATCCTTTGCCAAACCTACTGTCTTTAGACCCAATCGGTAATCTTACTTTCCAAACTAATTCTCCTTCTCAAAACTGTTTGTTCTTGACCTTTTTATTATAATGCCTTGCAACCCTTAATGTATTGGCCTCAATATTTTCAAGAGCGCGCAGCCGGTGACAACTTAAGTCCTCCAAATCATCCATCATAAGGTTTTTATAGACTTCGGCTGTTAAATTATTTTGCAATGTAATACGTCTTGATCCAATCTAAATCTCCCAAGGAAGAACTGTATTATGCCCATATACTAACTCATATGGTGATGATTTAATCGATCCATGGCAAGCCATCCTATATGCCCACAATGCTTCACTAAGTGTCAGGTACCACTTCCTTGGTTGCTCTTCAATTTTCTTCTTAATCAAAATTTGATTGGATGCCTCTACCTGGCCATTAGCTTGAGCATAATAAGGAGAAGAATTTAATAATTTAATTTCCATACTAGCAGCAAAATCTCTGAATTCCTCTGATGTGAACATTGTCCCTTGATCAGTGGTAATGGTTTGAGAAATCCCAAAATAAAAAACAATATGCTCCCTGACAAAATCAACCATATTCTTTGAAGTTACTGTTTTCAACGGAATCGTCTCAACCCACTTAGTAAAATAATCTGTTGCTACCAATATAAACTTGTGCCCTCTACTTGAAGGTAGAAAAATCTGGCCAATTAAATCAATTCCCCAGCCTCAGAATGGCCATGGCTTAATTATTGGGTTCATAGCTGATGCAGGCAATTTCTGAATATTAGCAAAACGCTGACAATCTTGATATCCCTTATAATATTCAAAACAATCTTCTAATATTGTTGGCTAGAAATATCTAGACCTTCGAATAACCCATTTTATTTTATAAGCCGATTGATGAGCTCCGCATATTCCTTCATGTACTTCTCCCATCAATACTCTTGCTTCTTCTTGACTTCGACATTTAAGCAAAACTCCATTGACTATTTTGTAATACAACTAATCATCCAACAAAACATACTTAGTCTATTTATATCTCAATTTTCTGGTAACCTTCTGTGATGGATTTTTGAGGTAATCGGCTATTTCAACTCTCTAATCATTAGCTAAGGTCTCACTACTTAAGATTTCTTGGAAAACTCGATAGCCTGACGTATTTTGAACTAACTGATTGGCCTCTTGATTCTGTGCTCTTGGAATATGCTGAAGAGAAGTAAGGGGAAACCCCTCAAGTAACTTTCGACATTCATCATACTACCCCTTTAGAATATCTTCTTTACATTCATACAGACCGATCAACTGATTAATAACTAACTATGAATCTCCAAATATTTCAATTGACTCGGCCTTTACTTCCTGAAGAAGTTGAAGTCCCTTAAGAACAACTTCATACTCTGCTTGATTATTGGTGGTCATTGGTTTGGTTTGAAAGGCAAACTCAAAACTTGCCCCCAAGGCAAAATAATAACAATACCAATGCCACTCTCTTGCTTACACGATGATCCATCAAAGAATAATATCCAAGGCATAGGTTCCACATAGCCGATGCTTGGTTTATGATGTTGAGTAATAAAATCAGCCATCACTTGCCCTTTGACTGCTTTAGCCGATTCATACCTCAAATCAAATTCTGATAATTCAAGAATCCACTTTCCCATTCTCCCATTTAATATCAGCATTGACAACATGTGTTTGATCACATTAGCTTTAGACACAACCGAACACTTAGCCGATAATAAATAATGTCATAACTTCATGTAGGAGAAATATAAGCATAAGCATAACTTTTTAATAGGAGAATATCTTGTTTCTGGATCCAAAAGTCTTCTACTTAAATAGAAAACAACCCATTCCTTTCCTTCAAACTCTTGCATCAAGGCCGATCCAATTGTTTGGCTATCGGCCAACACGTACAACTTAAAAGGCTTACCTTGCTGAGGAGGAACCAGCACAAGTGGAGATTTCATATACTCTTTTATCTCTTCAAACGCTTTTTGTTGTACATCACCCCATTTAAATTCTTGATCATTTTTCAACTTCAACAAAGGAGAAAACGGTAGAATCCTTTATGACATATTTAAAATAAACCTTCTGATGAAATTAATCTTACCAAGCTGAGATTGTAATTCTGTTTTATTAGTTGGAGGTACTGCCTCATCAATTGCTTTCATACTTTTTTGACCAATCTCAATTCCTCTCTCATGGACCATAAAACCCAAAAATTGTCTAGCTGACACTCCAAAGGCACACTTATTAGGATTCATCTTTAAACCATGTTTGCTTGTGCACTCCAAAGTCTCCCACAGATCAGCAGATGTTCTTTGTACCCTTTGGATTTCACCACCACATCATCAATATACATTTCAACAATCTTGCCAATCAACTCATGAAAAATATAATTTATTACCCTCTAATAAGTTGCACCAGCATTCTTCAATCCAAAAGTCATTACAACCCATTCAAATAAGCCAATTGCACCGGGGCACCTAAATGCTGTTTTTGCTATGTCTTCTTCAGCCATAAAATTTTGATTATAACCTACATTACTATCCATAAAACTAATTACCTTATGCCCGGCCGCTGCATCTACCAACATATCAGCTATTAGCATCGGATAACCATCCATCGGTGTAGCCTTGTTCAAATCTCTAAAATCAATACAAACTCTCAACTTCCCATTTTTCTTATACATAGGAACTACACTCGATATTCACTCTGCATATCGGCAAGGTCGAATAAATTTTGTTTCTAGTAGTCTTTCAGTCTCCTTCTTAATGTCATCAAGAACATTTGGATTAAATCTCCTTGGAGCTTGTTTAAATGGCTGATATCCAGGTTTGATTGGCAACCGATGTTCAACAATTGACCGATCTAAACCAAGCATTTTATAATATTCCCAAACAAAATAATCTTTAAATTCCTTTAACAAATCTATCAATTCTTGTTTATACTCAAGATTTAATTTGACACTTACATACATCGACCTAGGCCTATCTCTAGGACCAATATCTATGTTTTCTAACTCATCGGTCG